ATTGTGCCTGAAAAAAATTATGTAACACGAAATATTGAGCTTTATTGTTCCCCAGCAAATAAAATTCTCATCTCTTTATCATATTAACACATGAAAATACTTCCTACATGTGTACATATTTTTTTGTACCGTTTTTTTGCTCTCCTGTAAAATTAGAAATAATGGAGTTAGCAGTTTATCACCTTTCACCGACGAGCAGAGGTTTTATTTTTTCTAAAATATCGTATATTTTGTTCCCTTTGAAAGTAAAATAAGATTTATTCGAAAAAGCTATAAATGTAACTTCATAACATGGCGAATGCGCCAGGATTCAGTAATATGTACCTACCTATTTATAAAAGTAGTTTGTTGTAACAGACTGTTAAGATATATATTATAAATATATAATATTATATAATAGTATTTCTGTGTATTGAATGTAAAATATATGGTGTAATGAAACATTAGACAAAAAAAAAGAAAAGGTTCCCATAACACACAAAATTATGAGAGATATGTATTTTTTACTTTTGTTTTACTTTTTGTTTGGAGTAACTACAATCTGAAATATGTTACAATAATAAATAAAAATCTTCTTATTGTGAATATATGTCCTAGAGATGAGCAAAGCTGCGATTCTCCATTCGCAATTGAAGCTGCGATTGCGATTTTAACATTTAAAGATTGTACTAGGTATATAATTGTCTGTGTATGTACCTATAGCTTAATAGTTAAAAAAAGTGAATAAAAATCAGTTGATTTGTTTTTAAGTTTTTTTAACATCTGCAACACAGTAGGTATTAAAACCTTATAATATGCTGCAACTGCTGCAACCACACATATCAATACCTACTCTTTCTACGGTTCTCAGTTATCTAAACCAAACCAAACCAAAAACTATTTTTGTAAGGTGGCTCACCTCTATAACTTTTTTTATTATTTTTTCTGATAAAGGAACGGGATTTGGTAAGTTAGTCTCACCGTAAATAACTTAAACTTTTGATTATTTAATGAACCTAACCTCCCTGGGTATTCTTATTACTTTATTTCAGAGAATAGCTACATTAACTTTATTCGATAGAAAATGACACTCTAAATATAATGACATATCATATATCAACTTTTGACATTTCCCATACGGTTTAATACCATAACATAAATTTCGTATTTTTTTATCAGAAAAAATAAAAAAGTTATAGGGGGTGAACCACGACTCTTGATAAACACCCGGTATATTATTCAAAATTCAAAAAAAATCAAAATTCTTTATTCATGTTAAATTACCATTAAGGTTTACAATCGTCAATGTTATCAAGCCTTGCAGGTTACAAATTAATGCAGATTAATACATATATAATAAAAATAGAACATTACAGTTAAAATATGTAACATATTAAATTCACAAAGCACAAACACATAAAAGATATCTTGGCCAAAGAAATTGAAAAAAAGATACTCGTCTTGCGAGAAGAACGCATTTTCAATTAAAAATGTCAATTTAATTTTTAAATCCTTGTTTAATAAATTCTTAAAACATTCAGGCAGTTTATTATAAAATTTGACAGACCAATACCCCGGACCATCCTGACATCTTCTTAGACGCTAATAGTCTGTTACAATATTATTCTTGTTTCGTGGATTATAGTCATGAACTTCGCTGTGAGTTGTGCATCAGTCATGTTATTCCTTAACTCTAGTAGGTTGCAATAAATATAAAGAGATGATAATATGTCAGAATTCCCAGAACCCGGAAAGCGGTCCGACATTCCTCTCTGTACCCAAAACCGGCAAGCCAGCCTTACAGCCCTTCTCTATAATCAAAAAACCCTGTGGGTTTCAGCCCCATACTTGGAGGGCATATGAAATCTGACTATGATATGGATAAAGCCGAAGTAAGCGGGCTTCATTGTGTTTTGCGACACATTGTTAGCTAAATTTCGCAGAAGGAAACTGAAACTATTGATCTTAGCCCTAGAAAATAATACCTTCTCTATAAATAAATAAAATCAGAGAAAATGTCAATTGCAGTTTACTATAAAATGCTTCAATGGATCACATTCAAAAGTAATCACCATCACACAAAATTACATTCGCAACAAAATCGCAACTCCTAAAAATTCAAACTCGCATCTAGAAGGTTATCACGGTCCTGGTTTACAAAGTCACAATCGCAGCAAAATTGCAAATCGTAGCAAAATCGCAACATGCAACAAAATCGCAACTCGCAACTATGGTAATATTGATTGCCTAAATTGAAACTCGCAAATAGAAGAAATCGCAGTCGCAGTTTCTTATGAGAGCCAATCGCAGATTACGATTGCAATTTTAAAATTGCTGCGATTGAATCGTAGTTTGCGATTTATTGCTCATCTCTAGTATATGGTTTAATAAAACACTGGATAATAAAAGAAATGAGTATCGAAACACACCAAGTTATGATATATGTGTATTTTTAACTTTTGTTATTCTGTTGTTTTACTTTTGTCTGAAGTAATGATAATAATAAATAAAAAGCTTCATATTATGAATATATCTATGTCCTAAACGTTTTAACTTCTAATATACAGTTTTTTTTATCATAAAGCATTCCTTTGGACAATAACTTTTGTTGAACGTTAGATACTTATTCTAGAATAACTAGATTTAATGTGTTCAAAAATTATTAGCTTAATACTGCATTGAAACTACAGAATCTCGATTATCCGAGCTATAATAAAATCAACAAAAGTCCTTTGTTTTAAACTTTGAATAAGAAGACTAAGGAAGAAGCATAATGCTATCCATGTATTCATGCATGGTGGGCGGAAAAAGGACTCTAGGGTGGGGATCCTTGACAGTTCTGTTTGACGATTCATTTGACACATTTGAATTTGATTTGAAATTTTGTGGATTTGTCAGTCTTTACGGAGCTTATTTTATGTTATTTATTATTTATTCTACTACTGATAGTTGTATAGAGGTAGTAAATCTAGATGGAAATTGTGGCAGAACTTAAATTAACAGTGACACTATCGCGATTTATCGAAAAAGACTCTAAAATAGTTGGTTGTGTAGCGTGCGGTAGATCTCGCCAAAAATTGAGTGAAATAATGGAACAACTATTCGCTAGTAAGTGACTATATAATATACATACGTGTAGTAAACCGATCATTTATGAAATTCACTTAAATTAACTAAATTATATATTTTTCTTGCATTTTAGCTTTTATTTACTATTTGTCAAAGATCAGATGTCAAATAGTTTTGATATGTTAATTTGACTTATCTGCTTCAGTAGCGTATCGGATGTTTGTGTTAATAAATAGTTATTATAACTTATCTATTTTTATTAGAATTATATATTTTTATAACAATTTTAATAACTACCAACATTTATTTACAACGTAAAATAAAATAATAAATTATTGACTCTACCCCACGTCTACCCTACATCATAGTTTTACATTTTTTAAATAAAATTAGAACGGCACTGATAAACCGGAATTTAAGTCAGCGATATTTGAGGCCCATCGCGGTGTACCTAAGATTTTTGATATGTTCCTTCCTTAGTCTTCTTATTCAAAGGTTTTAAATTAGTCTACGTTTCGCAAAATTTATCTGCATCTTCAGGATTCCTGTTGAGTTTTTTTTTCGGTCCTAAACCCAATTAAAAAAAACACAGTTATTGATATTGATGAATTCGTTAACAGCGCTTTCAGATGGAGCGGACCGTCGCGCGTCGTCCGTCGTATTTTTTCAAGATAGCCGTAGGACGAACTCCGTCGGACGGAGCATACGCGCCCATGTGAAATTGTTCATATAAACTCATGGTTCTTGCTCGAAGTCGCGGACGGACGGTCCGCTCCATCTGAAAGCGCTATAACTTACACCCTAAAATGGTCAAAGTTGAAATGCGCTAATATTTCGGTTCCTTCAACATTGGCAGAAACTCTGTTGTCGATTAAGAACCTTGGTTACTTTTAATAAGAATCCCAAATAAAACATATAACATTTATGGTTATTGTCCAAAGCTTGAAAACAGAAATGTAATATTTTCAGCAAGAAGGAATTAGAGAAATGTTTGAAGATTCTGCTTTAATTTGGTAAAAGTTGCTTTTATACTTTTTTCCGATACTACTGATAAAGAAATAAACCCTGGTGTAAGAAATAAACCGTTTATACCGGTAAACCGGTAAATCCATAATTTAAAGTAAATTAAAAAGTCGGTAAATTTACAATCCCTAGTAACTATGTATTCTTTTTATAGTTCATTTTCTAGAAATATTTATTACTCTAGAAAATACGAAAAATATCGAAATCAATTTTTTTAAAATTATTATTCTTAAGAGTCCATTTCACTAGTCCGAAAAAGTAGCAAAATAAGCTTTCGGCATTTAACGTTTTATGTAAAACTCGCCAGGTAGTTTTACACAAATGAAGAAGGAAATTAAAGATAAAGGATTATACTATATCAGTATTGTAGCACATTTTTAGACAACTTCTTTATTTTTAAGATTTTGAAAGTAAAACATCAACAAAATATTCCGTATGTTTGGACTAAATTTTCTCCAAAATAAAGACACAATTTAAAATTCCGTTATAATATGGAAATAGATTGAAGTCTTGTGATTACAGTGATATTTAATTTATATGGTTTTGTAACAAATTGCTCGCTATTTTATGGCAAATGCTGAAGCTCTACTAACCTTAATCAAGCCTTAATCAAAGCACGTGTGTTTGGAATTTTGGGTGTGGCTTAACACGACAGGATCGGGCTAAGCCTTAGGCAGATTTCTGAAATATAATATATATTTCCTTACAAACCCGCTTTACCCGACCCCTGAGAGCGACCCGAACAGTAAAGCGTAATAGACTCTTAAGGCATAATCTGGCGACTTTTGGAAAGTCTGCAGATCTGAGGCTGACTGAAAATTACTGCAAAAATCTACATCGATATTTATAATACGTTGCAGTCCGCCTATTTTAGTTTTATTTCTATTTTTATCAACCTGTAAACTTATTATCTAGTATTACTTTCTCACCTGTACTTTCAACGCTTCGATCAGCTTATCCTGATGCTGTTCGATGGTTTTGACGTCCGTAACGCCCGGTCGGTCGGCGGTCAAGAGTACCGCCGCCGAGAACAGCCCCACCTCCGTGTCGTTGAGGCCGAGGGCGTTGAAGCTGTTCGCGAAATGGATCACCGAAGTCGTGAATTCGCTCTGAAAATGATAAAAATACCAAAAATTTAATTACCTATACCTTCTGGTAGATTTAGATTTTTAAATCGGTTATATTGGTCTCTCGTTTAAAAAAAAAATACTATACAGAGAAGACCAGGCTACTAGTAACATAGCAAGTTGCCGGACGAATTTACGTTTACCCGATTTGCGTACTCGTACTCGAGATTCATTGCCGGCTAGTCGGCTAGTCAGGCAGTACGCAGTTGCAGTTGTGCTTGGACGGGTCGGTCGTGACAGACTAGGAGTGCCGAGTATTTATTATTTTCATTTTAAGTGTTTACCTTCACTTAAGGTAACATTTAAAATAAAAATACCTAAATATTTATTATTTGAGTGTTTTTACAAGCCAAAACTAAAAATAAATATATTCTCTAACCCAAAAAAAACTAAAATATTACTCTAAATAAAAAAAAAGTTATAACAAGTGTTCAAAAAGACCACCTTCTTGTGCTAGACAGAAGCCTAGGCGGTCGTAAAATCCCCCCCCCCCCTGACGTTGGCTAATATATTAGGGCTAATAGTTTGGAAAGCTTCTCGTATTTTTACTTGAAGCTCATCCAGATTATTAGCCCTATTATGACCATACACTTTGGATTTTACATAACCCCACAAAAAGTAATCATTGGGAGAAAGATCTGGTGATCTAGCGGGCCACAAAATAGTTCCATAGCCACTAATTAAATGGTTAAACACTTGCTTTAACTCGTGTTCTTCATTAATCAACACATCGGGCTTTCTGTGTTTTTGTTGGGACACGCACCCATATGTTTCAAAATTATTAATAACTCTTGATATAGTAGGTAAAGATGGAATTGGCCTGTTTACAAAAGTTTGTGAAAAAATTTTTGTATATCCCGATAAGACCTATTTTGGAAATACCATTTTACAATTTGAATTTTCTCACTAACTTCGTAAACATCCATTATTTTACTTAAAAAATAAATTTTACACGAGAACTGTCGCGAGAATCTATGTATTCATTTTGGCTATTAAAACACGAATAAATACAAATTATGAAACATTCTTATCACATATCTACCTATTTTTATTTTATTGCATTTTTTCGCCTGCTTTTTATCCGGCGGACGGGTATACGCTAATTCGTCCGGTTCTGCCTATGTTACTATTACGGTGGTCCGGTCTGTATATATTATACTCTATTATGCACTCTAGTACAGTTGAGGGTTGAAACCTTTGGTGTTCCACAGCAAACAAAGACACTAAACCACCACAATACACCAAAACACTTTTAATAAAACTCAACAAACAAAAAATGGTATATTGTGGTGATTTAGTGTCTTATTTTGTCTTGCACTCGGTATACAGCTATCTCTCGTGGGGAGATTCCTCACGTAAATATAAGATTTATTTTTCATATCAACATAGTTTCGTAGTTATAGGGTGTTTATTGTGGTGAACTACGTGTTTTATTTCACCCTGTATAATAAACCATGTATTCCATGAAAAACATTAACACTGAACTAGAAATCGCGAAAAAATAAAATCTCTTTCTTCGTGAAACCTGCTTTTCCATCCAAAAATAAAACATAAAATCAATAACGTCACAGTCGAAACCAAAACAAATGCTACTACACTGCACTGATTCCAAATTCCAACTAATAGAGCAAAATTAGATTTTTTATTTAGAAAGAAGACTAATTAGAGAATATTTAAGACTAATAAAATTAAAGAAGATTAAACATAGATTAAAATAATAGAACTGTTTTGTCCAGAACATTTTTTATAGTTATAAGAAAATGTTAAAATGTAAAAGTTTATAGTAATTTTGTTAAATTATACGAATATTCTCGTTGATTATTGGTTTGAAAATGCGAATTGCTTAACTTTAATAATTCTAACTCTCAGCTAGCAAATGAGCTAAATGCTTTCCTAGACCGTTATTCGGAAGCTACAAACCTATCGATTAAAATATGCATGAAAATTTACTTCCTACCACACAACCAGAGGATATTGGTACCCAAGCACAGTATCAAGTTTATTATAACGCTTTTCTTAGCTTTAAATCAAATGTTTGGTGTTTACGCGATCCTTACCACTTTTTTTCTCGTTTAGCTCGTGCGTCAAGGCATTGTCAAGGTCATGTCGTGGTGTGTCACGGCCTTGGTGTGTCACGACCTTGGATTTTTACTGCCATCGCGCGTAAAGAAGTTTCACTTCAAAAATTGGACAGAAATCATGCATATTTTAATGGGAAACTAATGTTACACACATCGTTTATTAAAAAAATAATTATTTTGTTAAATTTATTATATGTAGCGGGTGTCCCACTAAGAATAGCTGTCGGCTGTATCTCGGAAAGTATTAGCCGTAGGGTTTACGGAAAAAAATATTTATAACTAAAGGCGCTATGAGAAATTGCTGGAAATTATTTTCAAGTTTGTAGAACGACCGCTAGGGGGCGCAACTGCAACAAAAAATATGAAAATGGAGTTTTTACACAATTTTGCCTAGATAAGGTGTACCATAAGTAATAACTTCATAATCTTCAGTAAATTTTGAATATTTTTTGTTAGAGCCATTTTCCCCTATCTACCAAAATAAAGTGATGGAGGAAGGTTAGATCTGTTTTTATTTAAATATTAATAACTCTGGACTGAATGATCGGAATCCAACAAGCGATTCTTACTCTATATTGTACCATATAAACAATAATAATAAGCTTTTGAACGTAGACGCTAGGGGGCGTTGTCTTACAATTTAACAAACTTTGCGGTTTTTTTTTTAAAAGATTAAATGCAATAGTATATGTAATTTTAGCTGATAGTAAAGAGTAGTAAAAACTTAAAAAGTCAGCGAAAACCGCATCTTGATATCTTCTTTCAAACAGAAGATATTAGCAAAATTATAATAAATACCAAAAAATAAGCCCTTAATGACCTTATTTTTATAACACGATATCAGTAGCCCTCTTAATTATGCCCATTCTAACAAAAAAATAAGATAGAAACAGTTAGTTTATTTTAAAATCGACGAAATACCAGAATACCATAATACCAGAGTTATTAATATCTAATAATTAAGATATTAATAACAGTGAACAAGAATCGATGATTCAGTGAAGTCATGGTAGGCTTTGGAAAAAAGTTGCTTTTGACATAATAGTGTAAACGTCAAATTGTTATTAGATCAACATTTTGATAGTCTTATCAGCGTTTTTTATCTTTTAATCGCTTTTTCAAAATGCCTTTATTATTTGAAATAGTTGAAGTTGTTGGCATTTGAAAAAAAAATCAAAAGATAAAAAACGCTGATAAGACTCAAAATGTTGATCTAATAACAATTTGACGTTTATGCTATTACGTCAAAAGCAACTTTTTTCCAAAGCCTACCATGACTTCACTGAATCATCGGTTCTTTTTCACTGTTATTAATGTCTTAATTATTAGATATTAATACCTCTGGTATTATGGTATTCTGGTATTTCGTCGATTTTAAAATAAACTAACGTTAACGAACTAAGTTTCTATCTTATTTTTTTGTTAGAATGGGCATAATTAAGAGGGCTACTGATATCGTGTTGTAAATATAATGTAATTAAGGGCTTATTTTTTGGTATTTATTATAATTTTGCTAATATCTTCGGTTTGAAAGAAGATATCAAGATGCGGTTTTCGCTGACTTTTTAAGCTTTTACTACTCTCTACTATCAGCTAAAATTACATATACTATTGCAATATTTATTTTTTTGAAAAAGCGCGCAATGTTTGTTAAATTGTAAGACAACACCCCCTAGCGTCTACATTCAAAAGCTTATTATTATTGTTTATATGGTACAATATAGAGTAAGAAATGCTCTTTTAAACGAGTCCTCGCTTGTTGAATTCCGATTATCCAGTCCAGAGTTATTAATATTTAAATAAAAACAGATTTAACCTTCCCCCACCACTTTATTTTGGTAGATAGGAGAAAATGGCTTTAACAAAATATATTCAAAATTTACTGAAGTTTATGAAGCTATTACTTATAGTACACCTTATCTAGGCAAAATTGTGTAAAAACTCCATTTTCTTATTTTTTGTTGCAGTTGCGCCCCCTAGCGGTCTTTCTACAAACTTGAAAATAATTTCCAGCAATTTCCCATAGCCTCTTTAGTAATATATTTTTTTTCCGCAGCCCCTACGGTTAATACTTTCCGAGATACAGCCGAGAGCTATTCTTAGTGGGACACACTGTACAGGGTGTCCCACTAAGAATAGCTCTCGGCTGTATCTCGGAAAGTATTAGCCGTAGGACTTACGGAAAAAAATATTTATAACTAAAAGGGCTATGAGAAATTATTGGAAATTATTTTCAAGTTTGTAAAACGCCCGCTAGGAGGTACAACTGCTATGGAAAATAAGAAAATAAATTTTTACAGAATTTTGCCTAGATAATGGGTACTATAAATAATCGCTTCATAATCTTCAGTAAACTTTCGATTTTTTTGTTAGAACCATTTTTCCCTATCTGCTAAAATAAAGTGGTGGGGGAAGGTTAGATCTATATTTATTTAAATGTTAAAAACTCCGGACCGGATGATCAGAATCCAATAAACGAGGGCTCGTTTAAAAGAGCGTTTCTTACTATATATTATACCATAAAAATAATAATAATAAGGTTTTGAACGTAGACGCTAGGGGGCACTTTCATACAATCTAACAAACATAGCGCGTTTTTTTCAAAAAAAAATAAATACAATAGTATATGTAATTTTGGCTGATAGTAAAGAGTAGTAAAAGCTTAAAAAGTCAGCGGAAACCGCATCTTGATATCTTCTTTCAAACCGAAGATATTAGCAAAATTTTAATAAATACCAAAAAATAAGCCCTTAATTACCTTATTTTTACAACACGGTATTAGTAGCCCTCTTGATTAGGCCCATTCTAACAAAAAAACAAGATAGAAACAGTTAGTTTATTTTAAAATGGACTAAATACCAGAATACCAGATGTATTAATATCTAATCAAGAAGATATTAA